AAGTTCCTCTCCCTTGAACGTCTTTGTGCGAAAGCTGCTCCCGCTGTTGTGCAACTGCCCCGGCCGCGTACGATGGCGCTGGTCCTGAGGGGTGCAAGCACAGGGTGGGGGGGAAAGGAGCCACTCAAAAAACTTTCGACAACCCTAGTGCCACGTGGTGCCAGTGCCAGGCTGGGGTTGAGTTTGGCCAAGGTTTCATTCCCCTCTGCCATTGATTACAGCTATTAACGGCCTCATGCACAGAACCACGAGTTTCCTTGCGGTTCACGGGCTTCAGCACCGTGCCGCATCCCTCAGGATGCAGCCGCCGGGCTGGGCAGCCCCGGTCAGGCTGCAAGCGCTGGCTGTGGCCCCCAGCCTTTTGAGAACGGGTCCTGGAGCAGCATTTATCCAGAAAGGCATCACCTGTGGCTCAGGGAGCAGCTTGCAGCTGGGGATGCTCACCTGGTAGATGGCTTCATCGCAGGCATTCTGCAGCCCCAGGTTAATCATGGTGTTCTGCAGCGTCCGCCCCATGTAAAACTCCAAGGAGAGGTAGTAAATCCTCTGAAAGAGAAAACCACCCCCTGGTCACCTTCCCCAGGGCCAGAGGAGGCTCCGCTGGACCCCAGGAGCCACTATCAGGAGCTATCTTGAAGGAAAAGGCAAAATCCAAAATGCTCAGCAAAGCAGGGTGGGTTGCACCGGGAATTTGAGGGCTGGAGCTCTGCGGAGGTGGCTGTGCCCTGCAGCCCCAGCCCTGCTCTCCTGCCACTGCTATTTCCCAAGCTGGGCAGAGGGTAGCACTGAGGCGGTTTTGTTTGGCCAAGCCCCGGCGCCTGGTCCGAGAGCAGAGCCAGCTCCAGGATGGTCACCCCAAGCTTGCCGGAGGCTGCAGAGAGTTAAACTTTGAAGAGGAGATGTTTCCTAACGTCACCCCAAGCTGCAAAGCAACCGGAAAACCGAGCAAGCCACCGGGGCCAGGAGGATGCGGTGGCCACGGGGACATGGGCTTCCTCTGCCGTCGCCGGGGGGTTCGGCCTCCGGAGCACTGCAGGCTCTCGCCTCCCCTCTGGCTGACACCACGGGTGCAGGATGCGGCCGGTAACGCGGAGGCTCGTGTGAGCCATCCCCCAGCGTCAGCACTGGCGGGTTTTAAGGAAGGGTTTAGGCTGGAGGAAGTCGCTGACTTGACAGGTTTGCCCAGGACCTGTGCGGGGTCAGGCTGGGGACGGCGATGGGATGAGCTGGGCAGGCTCAGTTGGGCTTACTGGTTTGGTCCCAGCGGAGCCGGAGGCAGTGATGCTGGGCAGACGGCACCCAGCACAGCTCAGCTCTACGGGAGAGCCCCCAGAATAAAGCCCTGGAAGAGGCTCAGCTGCTTTTCTCACCCCTACGCGAGCCGGGGGGGGCTGAGCTATCGGGGGCTGGCACGGTCCCAGCACGGTGTTCACGGGGGCCACCCTTG